CGGGGGGGGGGGAGCCTGCCCTGCCCGGCTGCGTGGGGCTGAGCACCCCTGCAAGGACGGGCTGCCTTGGCCGCAGCTCAAGGCCTCTCTCACGGGCCCTTTCCTGCCCAGCACAAGGTGTTGGGGAGCCACAGAGCGGTTACAGCCTGGGGGAGCCTTGGCCCATTCCTCACACCGTCCCCACCGGGGCCTCGGGCCAGCCCGGGTCCCAGGCGGCAGGCAGAGCCTCTGGAGCACATGATTTATTTCCAAAGCTCCTTTCTGTGATCCCCAACACTGTGACGAGGTAGGTGAGGACGGGGCTGGGCTGGGGCATAGTCACATTTTGCAATAACTCAGCTCACGCTCCGTTGCTCAAGATCTCGCTGTGTGGCAATAGTAGGGCTGGGATGGGAGGCCAGGGCTGCTGGGGCCCATCATGACCTGGTTCACAGGAGGGTGCCCCACTCTTCCCCACATCTGTGTTGTCTCCATGCTGACTGTCCTCAGCACGTGCCAGCCCCGTGCTAGGCTTTGAACCAGCTCTCCAGGTCAGGATACACGTGACCCTGGCGCAGGCTGGCGTACTTGGTGCAAATCATACAGATGCGCTCCCTCCAGTCCACGTAGAGCTTCACGCTGTACCTCTTCTGCCACGCAAAGAACTGCCGGTACCGACTGGCATTCATGGTCTTCAGGAAGGTGGCCAGCTCTGCCAGGGACTGAAAGTCGTCCACGTGGATGAAAGAGTCTGCAGGAACAAACTGCTCGTAGTTGGCCCGGGGTGGGCCAAGCACCACCGGCACAGTTCCAGCCATCAGGGAGTTCCTCCAGACCTTCTCGGTGATGTAGTCCCGGTGGATGGAGTTCTCAAAGGCAAGGTAGAACTTGGACTTGGACGTGGTTGGCAGGAGGCAGTCCTTGCAAAGTGGCTTTTTGTTTGCCTTCCCGTATATGTCCACATGGAGGTACCTGGAGAGGTTTCTGTAGACCGCTGCTCTTTTCTGAGACCTGTGATAATTGCTGATGACCCAGGTCACCAAGCTGGTCTTATTGGGGATGTTCACCATTGCTGACCGGTTGGGCACAAGCTTGCCATAGGGCATGAAGATGTCTGAGTCTTGTCTGTAGGTCATGACCCAGTTGAAGGTTTGTTTCCATCCTGCTAAAGCTTTAGTGTTTGTGGGGGACTCCAAGGAGACCCACAGCCAGTTCTGCCCAGGAGGCTTCTCCTTTGGGAGCTTGTCCCTGTTCTTCTGGAGAGTGTCATGGTGGAACACCACCACGTCTGCCAGGCTGTACAGCCTGCGATCCATGGTGAGCCAGCAGTCCATGATGTTGTAGAGGTCTCTGCAGACATCCGTGCTGATGTTTGGAGCCTGCTTGGAGGGCCATTCCCAGACCAGGATCATCAGAGGCTTAGTGTGCCTGGGGGCTCTACTGAAGATGTCAGACAAGTTAAGAACGTACTTGAGGTTCCAGAGCATGGTTATGAATAACCCAATGGTGATTAGCACCTTCACGCTGGGCAGGCTCCGGGGTGGCCATGTCAACATTGATGCTTGGGGTGTTTTGGGCATGCTGGTGGGTTGCTGGCTGGGCTGTTCGTCACCTCCTTGCAACCCAAGACCCCACACCTGTAGCACAGAGGAGTCGCCAAGAGAGGACATCAGCTCAGCTTGCTTGGCAGGAGCCAGGCTGCACACAGGGCCCAGCAGGTGGGGAGCAGGAAGGTGCCAGGGTTGGAGGGGATGGAGAAAGGGGTCCTCTGTGGTTCCCCCAAAACTAAAATCCTGCTGAGGGGTCTCAAAGCCAGCAATGATGGAGAGGACATGCAATCCCTGGAGACTGCATGCACCAAGTGGACATGCACTGTGACAGGGAGATAAAGGAGGGGCAAAAAGGGGCTTCCAGGCTGGCTACCAGGATGGACACCCCAGGCCCAGCAGGACTCACCCGACCTCCTCCACCAGTTCCTGATGCCACCAAAGTCAGTTTTGCACCCTGTGGCCGAGGCCGCCGCTGGGTGCTCAGGGTATGCAAGGGAGCAGTGCGACAAGCGGGGCCCAACCCTCCTGCCCAGGCACTTTGCATCGCGTTGTTTCACAGAGCAGACAGGCAGGAACCGCTGGGAGCCACCCAACACCCCACCGTGAGGGGCTGGCCCCGCTCCTCATCACACGGGAGGGTGATGGTACTTGCTTTCCTCGGTACTTGCTCCCTGCCTCAGTTTTCCCCAGACGGGAATAGCCCTGCTCCGGCACCCTCACGTGCCTGGGACAGCAGCGCTGCCGGTCTTGCTGCAGCGAAGCAGAGGGAGAAGAGCAGAGCAGCTGGTGCCACCCCGCCGGCTCGTGGCACGCGCGGCCCCCCCTCCCCC